CTGGTGGACTTTATTGTTCTCCTTTGTACTCTAGACCAATTTGTTCATATCTCTATATGGAAGCCCTTATTATATCATTTTATTTGTTAATATCTTTCTCTACCAACATCAAGCACAGTAGCTGGCATATAGCAGATAATCAACAGATGTTTGAATGAATGTATGAATGTGGCAATTTGTGCAAATGTGAGTGAACAAATGGTCAAGGGGATAACACAAATAAGGGAAACGTTTGAGACAGGAATTTAGAATGCCTCCTCTCAACTCTATCATGCTATGTCTATCAGTGTGTAAGCCTGGACGGACATAACTAATACTAAGAAGGGGCTTTGTAATAAGTTCATTCAGAAGTAGAAATTAGGCGGACATCATAGTTAAGGGGATAACTAAATGTGAATCAGAGTAAATCAGGCTCCAGAAGTTCATCATCAGGGCTGAGAGCTCAATTGTCCTTTCGGACGCCATCCTCAGGAAACACAGCTCCAGGCAGGTGTAGGTGAGGAGGGAGGGAACAAGGATAGAATGTGGCAGCCTCTCGATCCCACACGGACCCTCTGTTTTCCTCCACACTCTTATGAAAATCTGTAAGTTCGCTGCAGCACATTCCTGGACACTGTGCCTATCTCTCCCCTGAAACTAAGGAAGCAGGCAGGATCAAGCAAAAAGAGATAGGTCTTCAAAACTTTGTTAAAAGCTGAATTTAGAACCAGACCAAATTATATCAGAAAGTATTAAACCAAGATGATAAAACATTTTGAATTATAATTAATCACAGTCATAATAATTTTATAAAAGCAAAGGACTTTGTACCGTTGCTAAATAAAATATTTTGTTAAAAAAAGAAATTTAGCAAACCCAGCCTTTCTTATTTATTCACTCTCTTTTAAAAACATATTTTTTATTGATTTCAGAGAGGAAGGGAGAGGTTTAGAGAGAGATAGAAACATCAATGATGAGAGAGAATCATTGATTGGCTGCTTCCTGCATGCCCTACACTGGGGATTGAACCCACAACCCAGGCATGTGCCCCAAGCAGGAATCGAATGGTGACCTCCTGGTTCATAGGTTGATACTCAACCACTGAGTCCCACCAGCCAGACTGGTTCATAACTCTTAACTACTATGCCCTGTGACAGCTGAATAGTAGAAATGATGAAAATCTGGTAGGCAAGTAAAACCAGTACTTCGTTTGTCACAATTTTAAAAACCTAGCTGCATAAATATGCTATGCATAAACTTCAAAGTTTGCTCCGGAAAAATATCATTTGATTTCAAAGATGAGAAACGATAGCTCAGAGAAATCAGGCAGTTTAAGGGCCTAAGAACAAAAGAACACAACTCTTCCAACTCCCATCTGAAGGCCAAATCCACTTTAACCTTCTAACATCAATTATGCCAGATTTAAACACTGACTCTACCTGGCCCAGATGACAACCTTCAGCTTCTCCTGATACTTTTGTTATTGGATCTGTCAGATTTTAAATTCCATTCTTAAATCTTTTCTAAAGCACCATAATAATACACTCACGGAAGCTTAACAAGTAGCTATCATGAGGAGAAACACAGTGGATTGGGGGTTTTCCACACAGCAGTGGATTTCACTAAGTCCAGGGCAGAACATATTTCTCGTGGTGGCACACTCAGCTATCATGAGAAGATGCAGTATTAGATAACCAACAACAACAACGAGGAAATCAACAAGTTGCCACCCAGAAATTATTTGCCAGAGCAGCTGCAGTCCAGAAATGCCAACAAGCCACTCTCTGAAGGAGTGGACCATACTCAGCTGTGGGCCGGTCACAGCACTTTCTCGCTTTCCTTCGCCCCAGAATCAGGAGCTAGCAGTACTGCAATGGTTTCTTCTTGGGGAGGCACATTCAAAACTATCTTCCCAAAAAACTGAACCTACAATTACTATTTGCTATCAAGAGGGGGCAGTGGTACCTAATCGGGTAGATATATGCCCATTTTTTTTTCTGTTTTTTAATTATTTACAAAAATTGAAGCTAAAGGATAGTTAAAATAGCCAAAAAGTAACCAGTCTCACAGAACCAAATTTTTAGGTATAATTTAATACTATTTTATTAGTCCATAGTTAGCATGAGTCTTAAGATTATTTCTGAATTTTCTGAACAGCTTGAAAGAGAGAAACCTTTAACTCCTTTATTTACTTGCCTTGAAGCTGACACTTCCAGGTTTTTATATAACTCTCTTAAAACTTCTTACAATTAATTAAAATCCTTATGAATTATATCTATTTTTGTCTCTCCCTTAACAACTACATAAAAAATGACTTGCCACTTGGGAAGACAGGACCCTCTCTCCAGTCCTAAAGTTTCCTGTATTTCCCTCCCCTGCTGCCATCAGGGTAAAAAGCCTGACTGTCCCTCCTAAAGACAGTAATTTTCACTCCTAATACAAATATCTCAACAGAATCTGAAGTAGTGGAAATGTGTAAAATAATTATTATCCACAACAGACTTACAGTACATGTTTCGCAAACATTGGTTTTATTGAAGAGGACCATGCATGCAGCACCCAAATTATTGCAGATTCTGACTCAGTTGGGTGTGATTTAATATTTCTACTCTATTTAAAGAAGTGCCCTTCCAACACTAAAGAAAAACCAAGCGAAGTTGGGTCACCGAACAGGGCTCTGAATTCCCATCTGAATGACCTGACTTAGCGCGTCAATGATAGAATGCATGTCACCCTTGAAGTCTCTTTGCCAACATGGCTGCTATTTAATCCACCTCATCTCGTGGAATCATGATGTGACCAACAAGGATGAACTTAAGACACTGCTGGGGCCCAAGACAGGCCACCCCAAAACATCCCACAATGACATATTGATTACTTTGAACTAAAGTTCCCTGACAAGCAGCTAGTACCAGAAGGGCGTCTTGACCCTCCCCTTGTCTCACTTGTTGCAGAAAATAAATCTCCCAGGTGAAAGGTGAGTTAACTCAGAGCTGAAAAGTCTGCATGACAAATCTTGGAGCCTCTTTTCTAATGATTAACAATGGCTTTATGTATTGTTAGCATTACATAAGAGCATTTGAACGTAAGCCTTTAGTGTTTCCCAAGTCACAGACAAATGGGAGGAGTAGGTGACTGGTGGAATGAACGAAGATTTGGTGAGAAGGGAGATAAGGGGACCCGGTAGTTTGAGATCCCTCCAATCGTGCTGTCCAGTAGCTGCCTGACTTCGCTGTACTTGACATGAGGAGGACACAGAGCCATGCCTGTTTCCTAAATGGGACTAGTCTAGTGGCAACTTTGGTTGAACAAAATGGTTGTCACCTCTGCATGTGACAATGTGCTGTGACCACTCCCTCCCCACCCCCCGTCCTTTAATCTTAATCACGCTTCTCCCGGACAGCTGGGCCGCTGCCCAGCCCACCCGAAGTGTTCACTGGAGACTATCAGAGCAGAGGGTGAGACCAAATGATGCAAGCAATCCGTTGATTCAAGCTAAAGAAAAACAACATCTTTCCCTCAAATGATCTATGAAATTATTCTTCCTTCTGTCTTGCTTTGGGGACAATTAATAGAAAAATGCTCCAGTGAACAAATTCATTCACTACTTCTACCCTGAGGCAAATATTGCCATTTACCCTCCCCCTTCTCTCTATATATCTTTGAGCCAACAACCCTCACTTGGCAATATCCTCCTCGACCCTGGTGGCTCCTTGAGGCACATCACTAGCCATATGAAAGACGAAAGGCGAATCTAGACCAGTTTCAGGAAAATTCAGAGTAAAACATGGAAATCCAGGAAAAACAGAAAATGGGGCTAAATCTCCCCAATGTGGCGGTCCCCATTAGTTGATTTACCAAATAGTCATTTGGGTGTCAGAGACACCAGGAACCCCTCTGACCAAGACCCAATCTGGCAGACTGTGATGCGTCCTAGGGGCACACAGGGATTTTATTGGCACAGTCTCCTGCGTAAACAGCTGGAGATTTAGGGTCTCTGATAAAGTCCCCCGAGACCAGCTCCAGGTCACTCAGGCCCCTTCAGCGCCTGCACAGACACTAAGAGGGCTGTGGAAACCAATGTTGTGGAAACCAGTCAGGACGCTTAATCCTTGCACCCCCACAGCCTGATGTCCTCTAGCAAGGTGCTGTCTCATCTCACCCTCAACTCAGCCAATCCCCACCCTAGTCACTCAGCTGTCTATCAAGACAGCCCTGTGGTTCAGAGAAGCCACCCTTCCCCTCCCCCTCCGCAGGCCTGCTGCTACCTTTTCTTCATGCTCAGCTTACCTATTCCTAAGACTGAAAACGCCCAAGATTCTGTCTTTGTAACTATTCTACATAATGATCTTCAAAACTGAACATGAGCCCAGCTGGTGTGGCTCAGTGGTTGAGCGTCCACCTATGAACTAGGAGGTCAGGGTTCGATTCAGGTCTCCCCAGTTGGTGTGCGGGAGGCAGCCGATCCATGATTCTCTCTCATCATTGATGTTTCTCTCTCTCTCTCTCCCTGTCCCTTTCTCTCTGATATCAATAAAAAAATGTTTTTTAAAAAAACTGAACATGAATTTCTCAAGAAACATCAGTGGCCCCCGCGGCTGCCCTGTTCTCCACGGCATCATTCTCTGCCTCCATGGGGCCAGCCAGCGCTACACGCAGCCTTTCTCTATGGAGTGTGACATCTGGGACTACCAGCTTCAGAGTCACCTCTGGGGGCTGTTTTAAAATGCAAATTTCCCAGCGTCCCCACCAGTGACTAAGTCAGAATCTCGGGGTGAGGTGGGGAATCTACCTTTTAACCAGCTCCCAAGGCGATTGCTCTGCAGGGTTCCACACACACTGTCCTGGTTTGAGAACCTCTGGTTCAATCCAGCTCCCTCTCTCAGGAGGGGAACTGGGCTTGGCCAAGGTCACGCGCGTTAAGGTGAGCAGCCCAGGCCTGGAGCCCACCTCCCTCGCTAGTGCGCACAGCGCGAGCCAGGAAGGGCCTGGAATATCGGGGCGCCCCTGCCCTCACTCACCCGCTTGTAGATGTCCTCCCGGCTGCCCTCATACTTCTGCTGCATGCGCTCCTCCAGGAAGTAGATGCGCAGCTTGAGGCTGAAGTTCTCCTTCTTCAGGTCATTGAGGTGCTGGGACAGAGTGCGATATCCATTAGACATGGTGGGCTACCCATGGGGAGGAGCATGCCCAGGCACCCCTTCACCCCAGGAACGTGGTGCGGCTGCACCGAGGCATGAAGCGAGCGGCCGGGGCGCGGTGGAGGCTACGGTGGCGACATGGCCCTGGTGCCTGGCGCTCGCGGGGCCTCGGGACGCGGGGCTCACTGCTCTGGGTGCTGGAGTGCAGCGCACTTTCCTTTTTTACCTCCGGCAGATATTTGCGGAATCCCTGACAGAGGAACATGCTGTGTGAACTCAGACACACACACACAAGTGGTGTAACCTGACTCCAAGCCAGGACGCCAAGCTGCCACCCTCCCAGCACCTCCCAGGCCCAACTGTGGGCACTTAACAGCTCCTGGGGAAAGAGAGGGGGGTGACCCCGAGGAGCTTCCAGGAAATGGGGAATGGGAGTAATTCAGGGTGATGTTAGGGCTACAAAAAAGAGAAGGAAATGAAGGGTGTTTGTGTGTGGGGGCGGGGGTATTTAAACTCCTGGTGGCTGATTTGCATATGCATGCACACACAGACACACTCACACACACACACACACAACCGATGGAATGTAGCCAGAAGGAAGAAACGAACAAGTGGAATCAAAATGGATATCGCACATAGCTAGTCAAAAGCCCCTTTGGGTCAACTGCAGATCTTAAAGAGCTACTAGCCAGAGAGGTCTCTAATTTCCTTGGATGATCCTAAACCTCTAATCAGTTCCTTCACAGTTTTCTCCCCTGACTTTTCCAGCCCTGAGTTGCTTAAATCAATAGTCTTTATTTCCATGACCCCACCCCCTCCCCATATTATACATCAGAGTCAGCCCAAATGAAAGAGCAACCTTCTCATTCACCGAAATGTTTGCAAACTCTGTTACTGTTTCACAAGCTCACAAAACGGTAGGGTCAATGGCTCCTCCCCACAAGGGATGAGGGAAAGTTTTGAAAGCAGAAAGGTCAAGTTGGAGTGGGAGAAATAAAAACAGGCAGCCTGGAGCCCAGAGATTTCAGCTGGTCCCTGGTTCTAACTCGAGCACCTGCCAAGTGGAGCCAGGCACTCAACACCAGATCCTGCTCCTAGAGCAATTTAAGATCCTTGAATGACAGCTGCAACATTAGCAGGAAGTGCTATTTATACCACATCACACAGGACATTGAAGGTCACTGGGAGACACACATACCAAACACAGGTTCTTGGTTGCGGTAAATACTGAGTTGAAAACAATTAATATTAACATCCAAAGTAAAGAAGACTAAAGAAAGTTATACTTAATTCAAGTACTCGCTTCCCCCCAACCTACCTGTTCTTTATTCTTCTAATAATAACTCTTCATCCCCTGAGTCCCTACCAAGTAGTATGTTGGGCATGAGGGATAGAAAGGTGAGGACAGTCCCAAACCTCAAAGAGTTATATGGATATAGGTGCATGTTTTTCACTATAATCCTCCAAGCTTGCCACACCTTTTACATTTTATACTGCAATCCAGCACACATACGTGCATGAAGTGAAAGCTTCACAAAGTAATGTTACCACCACTGCGTGCGATGCACACTGATGGTATCTGTTCTATTTCTCTTTCTGGGAGTGACCCACTGAACTGATGCATTTACACACCGACGTTTCCACCTGAAGTTTGGAATACGCTGGTCTATGAGAACCCAGAAGACAAAGTGGTTAATTCTTACTGGGATGATGGCAGAAAACTTCAGAGTTGCACTTGCCCTTCGCTTTGAAAGATAGAAAAAGTTTGGGTGGATAAAGAGGCCCCGGGAGGGCAGAATTAGAACTGAGCATTCTCTCGAATCAATTTGGATTATAAGTAGTCAACATATTTGATTTACCATAGACTGTTGGCAACTTAAGAGAAAATATTCCTTTTTTAAAAAAATGTAAACATTTAAAATCCATGTAGTTATTTTTGTTATATCCATGCTCTTAGAATAAATGAATAAAGTTCAGGAAGAGAAACGTATAAATTAAAACTCAAGAAGATCCATTTCTGGTCCCAGCTCTGTTACTAAATGGTTGTATGACCTCAGAAGTGTGCTTCTCCAGAGGCCTACCTGTCCTCATTTATAAAATGAAGTGGTTGGAAACTAGGTGGTTTTTAAGGCACCTTCTCGGTCTATGCTCCAAAAGGAATATCCTAGTTCTTATCACCTCCATTTGGCACATAGGGAACCAGGATACCAGATTTGATTAGTGTTTGATAATGTTTGCTATGTCTACTTAGAATCTTGTTTCAAGTGAGATAATTTAATGGAAGCTTTGTGAAAAGTAACATTGCATAAGAATGCAGGGTATTCTTATCTAATTTAGATATTTTTTTCTGCACATTAATGCCTATTTCCTCTTATGCCCTGTGGTCCCTTGTTCTTCCATCTGCCTCCTTTTCTGGTTTTTGCTGCTTCTTAAAGTGAGTGCTTAAATGATGCTTAGTCCTTAGCCTTCTGCTTTTTTTTCTCCTCATACTTTCTCCCTTTGAGATTTTATCCACTTTTAGGGCTAACACTTCTGCCTCCTAAACAACTCCCAAATCTCCAACCAAGTTCTTACCTAAGACCTAGCCCTACACATCATACTCTTTGCTAGATAGCTCAAGTGAATGTCCCATCCGTACAACCAACCTCATAGCAAAAACATCTGTAGCAGTCTCTTATCATGCCTGCCAGAATTCACTTTGGTCATCTGCTCTGTATTACAGATAAAACGATGTTTTCAAAATTCAGATCTTATCCTGTCATTCTCTTACTTAAAACCCTTATCAGGTGTCTCATCCCTCATAGAATGAAAGGAAAACCCTACCATCACCTTTCCTCAAGACACCCTGTCTCTGAATATATATATGTGTGTGTGTGTGTGTGTGTATCTCAGAGATGAAGGGAGAGGGAGAGAGATAGAAACATCAATGATGAGAGAGAATCCCACACCGGGGATCCAGTCCACAACCTGGGCATATGCTCTGACTGGGAACCGAACTGTGACCTCCTGGTTAATTGGTCAATGCTCAACCACTGAGCCACATCGGCTGTACACTACCACTTTTTTCAGGTCCTAATTCAAATCCCATGCAAACAAAGTGTCCCTGCTTCCCCAGCCTGGAAAGGTTTCATCATCTTTTGAGTTCCTAAAGCAAATATTTGCCTTTGGCAAGTGCTCACATGCTGCTTCGTGATATTGTTTTTCTGTTGTCTTGAAGGATTGTTTACACCCTTTAGAGCTACTTGACTTGTGTGTTTCTGTTTCTCCAACTAGTCTGTAAGCTTCCCAGGCATTTACATGTCTTTCCACATTTACTTCACTCCCACTAAACCGAGACAGCCTCTCCAGTAACATTCACCCCACTGTACACCTGCTAATGAAACAGGAATTTTAGGGGTAAGATAGGACAGGCTTAGGAAATTTCAGAAATTTTGGAAGTGAAGGGGACCATGGAGGAAGCACAGGGTTGCAGGCAGCAGAAGGTATTTCCATAGAATAGGGAAGCTGAAAAGCTGCAACAGGTATATTTCCACAGACTGAGGGAGCTGGGAGCAGCAAAAGGTCTATACTTACAAAATAAAGAGAAGGAAGCCCTTCATCCAGAAGGAGAAGAAAGTCCAGAGGGAATAGGAAAACACTAAGGAAGGTGGGGGGGAGAACTTCACATGTTCCATGTGAGGTTTGACCTTTGAGCCTAGGTGTTACTATAGTAACCAGTCTAAGAGAATAGTGACCAATCAGAAGGGATATCAAGGCACCAGGATCTGCAGCCTTTATAAGCCATAGGGAAAAAGAACTCAGTGGGACCCTTCTCCCCTTCCCACGTGGGAGTCTGTACTTATTCTTCAATCAATCTCCATCTTTGCTATACCACTTTCTGTCCGTGGATTCATTCTTTGATTCCAGCAGACAAAAAATCTAGGTTCCA